ATTGTATGCTACTACAGTAAAACATGTGGTTGAAACAGTGTACTGTAGCATGATGCATGCTATACAGTAAAACACATGGCTGAAACAATGTACAGTATCTAGCGTGATTGTATGCTACTGCAGTAAAACGTGGCTAAAACAGTGTACAGTGCATGATTGTATGCTAAAACCTGTCATTGCAACAATGTACAGTATCTAGCGTGACATTATGCTACTAAAACCTATGGCTGAAACAGTGTACTGTAGGCCTACAGTATAGTGTGATTCATGCTACTAAAACGTCTGACTGAAACAGGGTACAGTATTTAGCGTGTACAGCATGCCACTAAAACCTGAGGCTGAAACAGTCTATGTCTCTTTTTTCATGGTTTAATAAGAGAAAAATATTCAACCTAATTCTGATTATATACCTACACATAGTTTTGGTCAATTACTGAACAAATTATGAATGGGCCCCAAATGTTAATTAGAGATAGTAAGATCTAGAAGATACAAGTGCTTGAGTGGTTTCATTAGTAACAACATATGAATTTCCTGTCAACTGTTATGAACCTATATTTTGAGATGTCTGAGTGTACACGGTTATTCTTTATTAGAACTGCGGCTTGAATATATGACAGGCTTAAAATCCAAAGTAGTAGTAAATGTCATCGGTCAATCGACTTCTAAGATATTCATGGTTTTAGTGTCATCGTGTTCCATTACTTTCAGCAATAGTGTCATGACAGTCCACCTGGTTATAAAAGTTATTAATTAATGATGGTAATAAAAATGTTCATTCATCATGACACCAACAATATTCAGTTGTCAACCAAACAAAGGTATAGACAGTAAGATAGTTGGAAATAATTATTGTAATGCAAGTTTATAATTGCTGTTCATTGAAGCAGAACTTATGAAAGTAAATAATGAGGCTTCATCTTCTTTACAGAATTATAGAGGCTTGGTTCGTTATATATTATGTGCATGCATTTCTTTTACTGTCTTCAAACAATTTTCAAATATGCATACTTATAATCTGAAGCCTACGTGCAATATCGTGTTACTCCAAGATATTTTCTCACAACAAAAAAACTCCTCCACTCTCTGGGCCTCAATAAGAGCATGTTTATAGCATCACTTTATCCTTCTATAATTGGTGAGTGTATTTGATGTAAAAGGAAATTTTGAAAATAGATATACTGTATGCGAATGTTGTAGCAAAATGGTGAAATAGTCACAGAGACCAGTTCTGTAATGCTCAACAAACTACAGTAGTTATTTCAGATCCTTTTGGTAATTAATTCCATTAAAAAAATGTATGAATAAATAACTTTGAAAGGAAATTACATAAAATCAATTTTAAAATTACATACTCAAGTATCTGGAAATACAATAACATTTTTGCTACAACTTATCCATTAATGATAAATGGTAGATTTAAGTGCAATTAATTCCCTTCGGATAATTACAATTTTATAAGTATATATCTGATGTAATTCTTTCAAATATTTTAAAAATGATAATAGTGAATGGCAGATTGTAAAAAGTGAAGTAATTTCCTTTTGATAAAACAATTTAATATCTATATATCTAGTACAATTCAAATTCTTTTGTTTATTTAAGGTAATTTTATTACTGTGTTTTCATATTTTGATCATGTTATGATAGACGATAAAGTTTCTTTTCTTATCTTATCTTGCAACAACATGCCTAGTATATTCACTTTACCTCCTTTAATAGTGGAATGGAGCTTTTTAATATTTCCTGTAATTTTGTTGGCATAGAATCGAAGTTTGTTTTATTTTTTTCTCACTTTATATCTCTCAGTATATGTTTTAGATTCAAGAGTGATTTCTTGGATTTAATAGAGGAATTCACTAAGTCTTGGTTTCTAATCTTAATATTTGTGACTGCCACCACAAGAGAAATGTTCATGTTTTTATTATCTTTGCAATTTACTAATCCCATTTCAAAGATTCAGAATGTATCATTTATTGTAATTAAACAATTTGCAGTAAAACTTGTTTTCGTATATGAATATTAAACAAAGCTGAGATAAATATATTATTCAACTGAAATTGAGTAAAGTGCCTACCGGACTCCAACCCTGAATATTATTGTCTCAACGGGGACAAGTCGACAAGTGATTGTCTAGACAGAAAATTGTTTCTAGATATATTGCTGATCAGGGAAATCTCTTTCGTTAAACAGTTTTGAATATGGAATATGGATTCTTCCATTGGGAACAAATATATTCTATCTCCTTTAATTTCTTTCCCAGAAAAAATATTTGTTTCCCTTCCAAGTATTCTTTTGCTTTTAAGCCACTATCTAATGATTTGTACCGTATGAAAGAAGAATGTTTGCCCCTAAATACCTCTAAGATTTTTGTAAAAAGTTTCATTACGTATATTATTATTGGCACTACAAATTCCAGATTGAGTGTCTGTAATGAAAAATCTTGTTCCCATTGAAATTGAAATTTTAGGTAGACCCACACCCATGATGCAATGCCAACCAACATGTAACACATAGAGACTGTCCTTCCAGTGCCTAACACTCATGTAATTAATATTTGGTATCAGCAAATGTCAGTAACTTAGCCAGTTCTTGAAACAGGTTCAGCCAAACTTCTTGTTGGTTTTCTTGCTTGGTAATGATAGGGTGGTCTTTGCAGATTCAATCATGCACACTTTGAAACCTTAAGGATTATTTGTAGTTTTAACATAGTTCAGCACTACTAATTCCTTTCCTTTTCACTCACATCCTATCAGATACCCATTTGTATCTATATTTGAATCCCACAGACAAAACTGCTTGGATAGTTGCTTAATTAGGCAAGACTTTTAATTCCTTGTTTCGCGTACTTATTTTTTTTAAGATTATCGGAGGAGGTAGAATAAAAATTAAAATAAAATAGTTTTGCTAAAATCATTCAGACAGAGGAGAAAATAAAAATAAAATTTTATTGGTAAGTGTAAAATAGGATGGTTAAATGCTTCAAATTTATATAATTAAGAAGAATATACATATTTTATCTTTGGCGATTTCAAACAGTGGCGGGCAGAATAAAAATAAAGAAAAACTCTTGTTTTTTTCTGAAATTTCCACTTTTTCGTTGTGGCGCGGGTGCGCTAATTGTGCAAAAATAAAATTTTATTGTTATTCAAAATCATCAATATTTGCATTCGGCGGGTTCGCTAAACAAGGTATAAAAATAGTCTCGCCTTACCTTACCATTATCAATTTTAACCAAAAATTGCAGGAGAAAAATTCAGAATAAGAACACAGAGCTTGGATGAAATTAATCAATCATTCAATTTATTTTCACTTGTTCAAAAAAGCAGCAATACCTAGCTTATGAATAACAAGAAGTTGAGAAAACTAATAAAGGTAGGCTTAATGCAATAGGCAAAACTACAATTAAATTTATCTTTATTTCTAATTTAATTTTCTTTTGAGACTTGTAGATTTTTACAACTTGAGACCCCTGAAAAATAGTGTGTTTAAAAAAAATATACGATTTGGAGCATGTTTTGTCCATTGTAAATTGTAATTAAATAATGGGTTTAATGTGATAGTTGTTCAAGCTACTTCAAATAGTTTAATTTCAGGAGCACCTGAAATTGTTCAAATGGTTGGCCAGCCATGCAGTGTATGACATGGATTACGATGACTCATAATGATTTGTGCACACTGTGCATTGAAAATGTCCTATGTAATGTTGATTATTATCTTTTATTATTATTATTATTATTATTATTATTATTATTATTATTATTATTAGTGTCATTGTCATTTTCTTTGCTATTATTTATTATTGTGATATTATTATTATTATTTGGCTTAATAGCACTTAAATTTTGTTCTGGATGTTGTTATTCTAGTGAATTTAAAAAAGAACTTATTTAATTGAGAACACCAATGAGGATAAGCTGTTAATTGAGTACAAGTTTGCTATATGTCTCATGGGTATATTTACTGTAATGTCCTCCTCTTCTTTATCGCTTTCAATTAAGTTTAATGTCTAACGTGGGAAGAATGCAACCATATATTTTTGTGATAGCGATAGCATGTACCGTAAAGTTGAGTAATCAGATTTATATTCATCAGAAATTTAGTTATGATTTGATTGTCGAGTTTTTTGGGTGAAACACACCAAAGATAACCCACGGAAGTTCATAGCCCTTCTGGTGATGAAGTAGTCATTACACTCTTGGAGACAATCACCTGTTTTTGAAGAGTGTACTGCATTTTGTCACGTGTACATTTGGTCTGCAGATGTTCAAAAGATGTCTGCAGATGTTCAAACTGAGTTTACTAAGTAAAATAATTTGAAATGTAGAGTTGACAGCTAGATTCTGATGATAATGGAGGGAGAGATCTACTGCGCAAATGAACAGAGAGCAAATATTAGAATTTGTAGGAAAGTGATGGAAACTACTAAAAGAGTGGCCATTATACAAAATGCCTACAGCTTTTTTTGAAGGCCTGAGCATGCTTAACTGTTATGTTTGTTAAAGTTTAATCTATTATAAGTGCTATATATGTATTTTATATAGCATTGAAAATAATGAAGTTGAATGAATATATATCACTAAAAGTAATAGCAACAGTGACATAGTAATGATAATAATTGCAAGGATTGCGTACTGGTAGTCTATTTTTAAAATATGACGTTTAATTTTTTTTAAGCTAAATGAGAATTATACTTCAGTTACTTTTATAGATTACACAAACATATGTTTTTCATTTATCAAACATTTTAACAAATGCTGAAATGGAATGAAAATGTGAGTAAGGTTTAGTGTAGTGGCATTTTATTTTAAGGTGAATGTGGGTGTTTTTCAAGATGCTATCTGCAGTTAATCTAACCTTTACTCCTTCATTATCTTGCACAACTTTAATTACTTCTTTATTCCAGCCAGATATGAAAGGCAAAGATCTGTAGATTCATATAGGTTAAAAATGGCTATTTGTTCAGCAATAAAATCAAATGTTTGCATTTGTTTTTGCAGGGATTGTCGTTCAACAAATATCTTAGGAGCATACAAGGAATCACATTCTGATGATATAACTCGGGTAAGAAATTGTTGAATAGTAGTACTGCCCAACTAAAACTGGTCTGGACTGGATCAATCTGGTCTGAAAGGATGTTTTTTTTTATGTTGGTTGCTTCAAGCTAGTTTAGGCCAGTTGAAACTAGTTTGTGCTGGTATAGAGTAGCTTTTTGTACCACTTAATACCAGAACTCTTTTCTGCTTCGTTCAGTACGCTTGCGGAACTCTCTTCAAATCTCTGCTCTGTATTCCTCAGGTAACCAATCAGATTGCCATTTTGCAGTCATGCTCTTTATTATATCCATCCAACCTCGGCATGCCTTGTCTTATACATTGCTCTTGCACATTAGCCAGTTCTGTATACTTGCACTTAAGTTATGGCTGTATATCTCTTGTCTGCTTTGGACAGTAACAGTTGTGGCTCTTCAACTTTATTTATTTAACCACAGAGGCCCAGATTAACACAGCATTATTCTTCCCTGGGGCCATGCACATAAATACAAAAGGACAAAATTAGAATATTAATTGCAAAAATAAATCAAAATAATGTATCATGTTAATTTTATGCTTAAATGAATCAGAAAGTGTTCTATAAGTCATGAGAACATTATCTTTAAAATTTGGAGTAATTTTTAATTGTTGAGTTTTTTCTTATCTTGAATGAAAGTACATATTATTTTTTATAATAGTATGTTAAATATTAGGCAGTTGGCTACAGTTACACCATTCATAAACCAATTCTTCATTGGATGTTATTGTGCTAATCCAGTCCATATATTCAATAACATCCAATCAGGATTAGGAATTGGTTTTGACTGGTATAATAGCTATTTCCTATAGGTTATATGTTGTATCATTTCTTTTAAACAGCAAACACATTATGTCTGTATTAAAGCATATATGATATCATACCTTACATTCACAAATGCATTTGTTTCATATAAAAATTGGGTAAAATAATTTAAATACGGTTGAATTGTTTAAAGCAAAGCCAAACACAAATATATAGGCATGACTGTTGTACTTTGCCAAAAAAAGAAAACAATTTTCACCATTGAAATTTCCATCTTTCAAATTTGTCAGTTCCGCAACAATTGTCCAAAGTAGAATTAGAGTCATTGATAGAGGGAGTAGAACATGCTATGGTATGATTTACTTTTTGCTGTATTTATGGTACGTAGATATGTGATACAAATTTTAGCTACAGTGCAACCCAACAATAAACAGCATCTTTAAATTTACATTATTATTATTATTATTATAATTATTATAAAAAGAAACTCATATCTCATGTATTCAGTGGTGACACCAGTATTTTCTTGATGGGATTGTTCTTTGACATGGGGGGGTCTGACAATTTCTGACGGAAACTGGATTTGTCTAGTTGAAAGGCATTTGTGGGGCAGAGGTGGCAAGCCCCAGGCACCTAAGAAAATACCTTCTGCTGATGTTGCCACTGTATAATATACTATTTAATATGATAATTATGAAGAGACAGCCAATTACTGACATGCAGTACTCTTTTTAATCACTGAAACTGGATGGTCACATTATCACTGACATATATTTATTCATAAATTATTATTATCATTAATTATCATCTATTTTGAATACAGATCTCCCTTTAATTAAAGAACCTTCGAATGAAAGACCATCTCCAACTACCTTTCAACACCTCAAATGAATGCCTATCTTATATCTTTTGATATTTTTCCTAATTAAAGACCAAAGCTGCTGAAGATCATGAAAACCCCTGTCCAATGACTGTTTAATTGGAGGGAGACCTGTATTTTTCGTTCTTTTTTTTTGGTATCAGGATTCTGGTAATTGTACGAATTAGTTTATTTCCGTGTTCATATACAGTATTTAACTCACACATATTCATAGTTTTGAGTTATGTTTATGAAAATAAGTAAATTGTACTAATTTCTTTTGCATCTTAATTATACCAGCTTGAATCTGCCTGAATATATAAAAGTAATGTTTTAGTTATGTGTATCTATTTGTATAATGTTATAAACTATTAGGACAAACATACTCATATTATTGCTATATTTCCACGGATTGGAACCAGGTTTGAATCCAGACTGTTTTATTCACAGTCTATTTCCAATGGAGACCAGCGGAGTATAGGGGCTGAAGCCCTACCTCAATCCCCTGCAAAATCTGGCCAAATTTGAGCCATGTTAGCACTTCCATTAGCAAAAAAAAAAAGTTTAAAGAAATATTTTTGTCTGACAATTGGTTGCCAATGGGGAGGTACTTGGCCTGTCTTGATAAGGGGAATTAAATCCCTCCCTCTTTCCTCCTCATTCAAAATTATTTTGAATGTATAACTAATGGTTTTTTTTATTTTTCCTCCTCACTAGCAAAACAATTTCTCCATTAAACAGGTATTGCTATAAATGCATGATTTGAAATTTGTTGATTTGTGTAATTTATTATAATCTGTACGTTATGTTCACAAACAAGATGTGGCTATCTCAATTAGCTCTCTTGTGGCAAAAGTTCTGTGCATGTCTGTGTCAAAGGTCAAGACACATCAAGAAACAAATCATAGCGTATGTTATAATTTTATTAACAGTTTTGGTACCTGGCGGGGGATAGATTATTAATACCTGATATTATCTTGTTATTATTTCTATTTATGAGTGAATTGTTGCAAGTGTACGGTTATGTAAAATTAATTTTTACGAATGATACTAAATAGAAGATTGGTTGCAGTATTCAGCTCTACCATAAATATATACAACTATTATATACAACTCTTATGTAAAATTTTGACCTTTGACCGTATCATGGACAGTTAAGACTAAAAGAATTCTTGTGGTATTCATCTTGTGAACAGATAGTATTTTTTCTATTTCATCCCAGCATGCAACAGTTATCCAAATGATCATGGCACAAAAAATATATTCCTCATCTTCATATGAATAAAGAAGGTAATAATAAAGTTTGAATAGCCAAAGGAGAATTAAGACAGAAGTAGATATAGCACTAGAGATTGCCGATGCCAACTGAAATTCAAGTATTAGTATGTAACCAACCTTAGCTTGTCACGAATACCAATCAATACGTTAATGAACGGATTGATTGATTTTCTGTCTAGAATCGCTTTGCCATAAAAGCTGATTGGTCGCTGTAGAATTTGATTCTCATCCTTTATTCCTGAGGATACTGCAATAGCATGACGATTCAATATTTAAGATTTCTTTATATTCGGTATATTTATAGCCTATGCATCAAAATATGTAGATTTTTTATTTTGAATCTATCAGTCTATCTCTCAGTATTTGAGACAGCTTACCTCAGTCGGCTAATCTGGTGGTAACCACGGAGTGTGCGCTGAAACATGAAGATCTCTAGGTCCCCAGTTCGATTCCCATCACTGCCTCTCCTTGTGTTTGAGCTGGAGGGCTGAAATACAAGTTACCATAGCGAACCGCCTTTCGGATGAGACGTTTAAGCCGTTGGTCCTGTGTGCATTAATGGCCGCTTATGTGCACGTTAAAGAACGCAGTACACTCTTCGGAAAAGGGTACTGCCCAATCACCTTCTAGACTTTCGTAGGCTATCCTTGGTGTTTACACCGAATTAATCCAATCCAATCCAATGCAATAGTAATGAAAAAATCGGAGCTGCAATCCAAAGGGCTCAGCATCACTGACCCTATTACACACACACACACACACACAGACCCCCCCCCCCATCCCATGTTAATCTTGTCCTGAAATATTACTTCATTACAATTTTTAATACTAAAGAAGGTCACTCAGGTGCATAGATATTTCTTTGAATGTTATTTGCACTATATAAATCTTGTAAATCAGTATTTTGTTTGTATTGTTATTGTCTATTTGAGCCAGTGTAGTGTTCGTTAATCAAAATCATTTTTGATTTGATTTATGATTAATAATAAGATATTACCACCAGGCTATTGTTTATTGCTGGTGGTAATATCTTATGATTAATAATAAGATATTACCACCAGCAATAAACAATAGCCTGGTAGGAAAATCACAGGGATTCCAGTCAGACCCAAGAGTAAAATTTGGAATGGAATTTTTAGCAAAATTTAGATTCTCCTCCTTCCACTCAGTTAGGAATGAGGCCTGAAAGTACTGAATTTACTATGAACGTTATAGGTATGGTCAAAATTTCTGTAAAAATACATGTGTTAATGTGCCTTTTGTTTTGAAATTACTTTTAATAAGTTTATGAAAAGTTTCAACATCAAAAAAACCACCTGTTTTTGTATTTTTTAACTCTTATTTTGGTTTTTAGACTGCCCTGCATAAGAGAGCACAAACAATAATATAGAATTTTAGCTTTTAGCACATTTTTGCATTTTTGTTAACTCTTATGTTGGTTGTTAGACTGCTCTCCCTAAGAGAGCATAACAATAGCAGTTTTAGCTTTTGATGCTTTCGCTGCCAGTGACGCTACTCCAACAGGGTTCAGTTGTGGCACCAAGGATGTGAGTGCACATCCACACATGTCTAAAGGACATCTACACTGCATTGTTACAGAATTTACATGCAGAAATCGCGGAGAATGCGATCGTATTATTAGAAGATCTTTGTTTTATGCGTAAAATCACTCGCTGGTAGTGGTCACCAAAAGATGAACTGTCGCACTGGAGGCTCAGGGAAGAACCCGGAAGTAACAATTTAAAAATGAATACTGTTTGTGTTTCACTTGAGGGGAATGATTTTCATAATGGTGTCGTTCTTTATCTCTTAATTGGGTAGGGGATAAAACTAGGAAAACAACTTGGCAGTCCACATGTCAAAACTAATTCATTTAAGTATTGAAATTTGATAAATAAATGCAATTTAATTATGACTCGTAAGGTTTTCAACTTTGTATTTATACAATATCTATAATTTTATACTAATCAACTCTTTTCTGACTGTTCATTTGATTATATTGTTATACCCTCTGTTGCTTCCAGTAAATATGCATTTCTGCTTTTCAGACGATGCAATTTTCTTGATCCTTTAGATGTTGTTCACATTTTGATCCCGCCGGCTAATGCTTATCGATGCAGCTTTGTTTGTGTTTTAGTGTATTTTTAGGCTGTCTGGTTTATATTATTATGTTGTTTGTTCTTATTACTACACTCACGGTAAATAATTGATACTACAATGTTTGTTCAAGTCTGGTGTAGTATCTGTGATTTTTTTTCTCCTTGTGAACTGCTTTAGTACGGTCACTGTAATTAATATCGATTTTCTAGTATGTATCCGTCATCTCAATATTTTTGTTATTCCTTCATTGAAACGTCCTTCCGTGTTTCATAGAATCTTCATCAGCCTTTTTACATTCCTCCTCCGGTCATAACAGAGAGGATTCTGTTTGCCTTAGGGTCTTTGTCAGGTGACTCGCATCACTCAGTATTACGTCAGTGATGGCTTGAAAATCCCTATATGGAAATGATCAATCTGAATACTTATAATATGTTTTCTTGTTTCTGCAGGTCAAATTCCATCCAACAAAAGCAAACAGCCTTGCAACGGGGTCAACGGATGGTCTAGTTTGCGTTTTTGACATTTGCGAAAAAAGCGAAGACGATGCTCTTGTGACTACACTGAATTCTGAATCATCAGTGGTAAGTTAAATTCTCTAACCACGTTGAATGGGGCAGTGGTTGTGAATCGCACACTCAACCATGAGGTTAGAGGATTGTGTTCTGGTAAGGAGTTATCTCTATTGACCTGGGAGTGAGTACCTACTGTAGTAGGCTCAAATACCAATGCAGTGATTACTCTGTGTAATTTTATGAAATTCTCCTACAGGGAGGCTAGGTGTGCTGTGGCGGATCTTGAATTAGTTTCCCAGAGTGGTGCTAGTAGCAATAGAGGGCCTACAGTAAAGTCAAAAGGGTACAAAACTATGGTTGAGAGAGGAAGGTTTTTGATGTTCTGTTACCTACTATGGGGGTCCAGGGGTGCTGAACAGTGGCGGTGACAGCTCAGCCCCCCAGAAAATATATCCTTGAGCCACCACTGGTACTGAAGTTTCATTTTAATCTCTTATTTAAATGACTTTCCTCATCGTTGGTGGAAGTTTAAATAAGAAAGCATTGGATGCAATGTGCATGGATTGTGGAAGATTCAAACCCAATCCCTAGTTATCTGAAGCAGGCACCTTTAACCAAGAAGTTGTAGCTATACATCTCCATATGAGACATATGTACCATATTATTATCACTATATTAATCAAAATAATATCATTAAAATGAATATTATTGTTATTAAAATTATTTTTATTGATATTTTTGAGAATATTATTATTTATTAATGAACAGCACATCTGGGGCATAAAATTAAATTACAAAAAATAAAATTTGAACTAGGAGTGCATTAAATTAATTATATTCTTTTTTTTTGTACATTTTTGAAGAAAATTATTTGCATGTCAATGAAATTTTTACATTTTTGGAGCTGATTTTGAAGCACAGAGCTAACTTAATATACCTTTCAACATCTGTTATGATTGATAGCAAATGTACACGAGTCTCGGAAGATACCTTCCATTTGTTGGATGTCTAAAGTCCACGATAATTTATGATCTGTTCAGATTCCCGTGAATATGAACATATGTCAGATTTGAAATATATACTTTTTTTTCGGTGCTCAGAAAATGTTTAAAGAAGTATGTCATGGTCGTCTGTAAGATATTGATGCTGGAAGGAGAACTTAATTTAGATTACTATAGTTCCTGATGATGACATAATTATTGTGGAAATATTGAATCCCGACACGATGGCGTGTATTTCAATACTTGGAGTATGTATTATACTTTCTTATCTGAGATTAATCAGTGGACCTTTCGGTTTATAGTTTTGTTTCATAATAATAATAATAATAATAATAGTGTAGTTTTATATAGCGCACATATCCATCTAATGTAAGATGCTCAGGGTGCTTGATATGTGGACTAGGAACTTGACCAATGACTTTCTTCACCCCTAAGGGTCCCTTCGTATCTGTGCTACCCGGTAACCCGGTATCAGTAACTCTCGTCATCCACCACGGGGGCTGTCTGTTCCAGTACACCGGGATATCCCCCTACTCTTCTCGAAGGATGTACTGGGTTCTTTATAGTGCACACTGGGCCTACGGTTTATAGTCCTTTCCGAGAAGACTTGTTCTACCACCAGAACCATAGGCGAGCGTGCCGTTCGAACCAGCACCGATATTATGGCTATAGCTTGCGGCGCCCCTGCTAACCGCTCGGTCATTCGACTCACCATGCATTGATGCTCGGTCATTCGACTCACCATGCATTGATGCATTGATCCATCATTTGAAATTTATCATTCAGAGGTTGCAATTTCAAAGCAGTGAAGTCTGTATCCCGGTATTCACAGTACACGTTTAACATGCATCTGTCATCTAAATTTTCATTTGTTAGACAAAATATTGCTATCATTTTCAGTCATTTGGATAAGCTGTCAAACATGAAATTACTGAAAATTAATTGATCATCGCTTGTAATTTATATCATAAGCCACTAAATGTCACTTGCAAGCGTTTAAACAAAATATCAGAAAAACCTTTGTTGAACCTTATTTAGCTGCATATTAATACTAAGCGAGTCCAATGGCTGAACGTTTAAGCAGGGGCGTTTCAACCTACAGCCATAATATTGGCGCTGGTTGGAGCAGCATGATCGCCTATGGTTCTGGTGGTGGAACAAGTCTTCTCGGATAAAGAATATAACCGTAGGCCCAGTGTATACAATTGGCACATGTGCACTTTAAAAGATCCCAGTACATCTTTCGAGACAAGTAGGGGTTTACCCTAGTGTACTGGTTCATACAGCCACAGGTTCCATGCGGTTATGGATCATTAGGCCCTTTGCAGGATGTACCTACATGTACGTAAATGTGTGGTGTTTATAATTAGAAAGGTTTAGCTAAATACCGTAAGCTGTAATTTAGTGTTGTGGAATTATAAAAAAATTAAACATAAACAAATTATTTTCAATTTTTGATTTCATTTTTATAATTAATTTTTTTTAATAATTTTGAAAAAAAAAAAATCCTCAGTCTACAGCCAGAATAACAAATACATCTTCCACATCAGCACAAATTATTTCTTTTCAAAATAAAACCAAACTTGAGTTTATGATCAAATAATATAAAATTTCACCTCAAGGGTACCTAGCCCAAATCCCTAGGCGTTCTTGAATTAGAGAGACTCATGAGGATCATGTTCAAGGTCTTGTTATTGCCATTTGCTTTTACAACATTGGAATCATAAACTTCAGACACATTCATGTAACCAAAAAACAAAGAAAAACAAGTCATAAATTACATCAAGAAAACACATCATCTGCACTGCTACATCTAAAATGTTCCAATATAAAAAACTTCAAAATCGTGCCATGAGGCTGATTTTCTTTGAGTTGATGCTTACTAAAAGTTAGATACCTCACCATTACTACGCGAACTTTACTGGTCACCAGTCCAACAGAGAATAGACTTACACAGACTAGACTTAGACTTAGTAACATCTTACTGTATGCGTACATTGATGCTCATAAAATAAGTCGAACATATTCAAGATATTCTTAAAATCTTTAAGCCTGGTTGTGTAGGTCTTAGGTCCTGTAATTATCCTATACGCCTTTGTAGTTCCCATTACAAAAGAGTTTGGTGGGAGTGCATGCTTTTTCTGTGATTGGTCCCCTATGGAATAATCTCCCCCAGATCCAGCAGGCCCCCAGTGTGCAATCTTTTAAAAAACTTCTAAATACAAACCTTTCACCTAAAGAGTAGCTTTTATAATTGTATTTTATATCTACTTGGTTGATTCATAATTTCAATCTTTCTTATGTCACTGTTTTATTGTTGTATTTTTATTGCTAACTGACAATATTTATAGGAAATTTTAATGGTATTGTAATTTGTATTTGCCATTTTTATTGATTGATTATTCATTGTACTTGCTCATTGCTTTTATCTTAAATGGGTTTTAATGTTTTTCAGGTTTTTTTTGTAAAAAGGCACTGTATACATTAACGTGCTGTAATGTTCTTAATGATAATAATTGTCTGCCATCTGCATACCACAGAAAATATGAAATTAAATTAAATTAAATTTTTCTTCAAATTGGTACCTTTTTTTTTTTTTACTTTTGACTTATTTAAAAAAAAATCACATATTAAAGTAATTTACTTTTTTGATAAGACACAGCTCAAATTAAACGATAAATTAAAAAAATTACAGCTGATGTTTTGCTATAAGAATCCTAAATTTATTTTTCTGGAAGGAGAAACCTAAATGTCTTTTCTTTTTTTTCATTTCTGTAAATTGGCGAAAAAGCTTATTTTCTGGTGCTAATTTGTAGTTGAAAGTTAATAACTTTAACAGTTTCTTTCCAAAGTTTATTATTAGATTTAAAAATAATAATAATAATATGTTCCACTTACATAGAGCATAATACAATAAGCTTCTCTCACTTCACAAAAAAATAAAAAATGTTTGGAAGTTGTGATAATCTGGCATAACAGAATGGTTCACTGTTCACTCCCCACTCTAGCGCGTCCCTTCCTAGGTGACTCAAGCAAAGTAAACATTTACTTTATTCAAGTTCAATTCCTAGATTTTTTTTTCAATGTCTTTGTCTCTGTTACTTTTTGCTAACACTCTAGCGCGTACCCGTAGAAATCTTTGTATCATGCGCTGTACAAATCTAACTTTTTATTATAATATTATTAATATAAATATTTTCTTATTTTCATTTCAGAGTCACATAGGTTGGTGTGGAACCAACAGCGAGTACTTGTATTGTCTGACACACACGGAAACATTACTCATTTGGGATGCAGTCGAGGTAAATTTCAACCAATTTATTTCCTGACGAAAAACCTGAGTAGCATGATTAGTTATTATTTGTTAATAATTTAGTGCCTCCGGGATGCTGGTTCTTCTGAATATGCCATTGATAATACAGACAGTTCATTGTACTGTTCCTTTGTACTGCTGTAATCAACACATCAACAATACTTTCAATTACAGTGAAAGTGCTGCACACCTTAGTTGATGTCATAATAATTTGATGGCATAGTAGAAGTAAAGAATCTTAATTTTTCCTATGCTCAATAAACACGTGCAGAATTTTGACAAATTTAACAAGAAACTTTATCAAGGATCACTGCAGGTGAAAGCAAAGAGAGGAGGTAGGCCTAGTATAGGTGTAGAAGTGTATGTCGCAGCATGTGAGGTGTTGGTCTTTCAATCGGAAGGTCGTGTGTTCGAGACCTATGTCTCACAAGCGAAGTGCTGTTCACTTCGCTTGTGTCCTTATGCGAAGCACTTTACCTGTGTTGCTTCTGTTCTGTTCTGTATTAACCGGTTCTGTTCTGTATTAATCGGTACCCGGTGGGGTGCTACTTGCACCAATATGGTAGCAACACCTAAGTGGACACAAACAAGGACCAAGCAAAAGAAAGTGCACTATATAAATAACAAATAACAAACAAAATAATTCTTCATGTTGTGTTTCACACCAAAGAATTCCTAATTAAAATTCCGCTTTGTTGTACATATTCTTAATTTGCTATGGTGCTTACTGCTGCACTTTACTTCAATATACCTTTAGTTGTGCTCACTGACCATTACAACATAGGGTGGGTGGGAAACGCAGTAGGTTGTCTGGTGAAACCATGGCTAAGTAAAGGCCTATTCATGTGGAAATTATAAGTGTCAATTACATTTTAGAGCTCTCCGCTAAATTTAATCCTTTCATAGTTTTAATTAAGATAATCAATAACAATTTAGATTTATTAAATACTTAATTTAACATCCCATATTAACTATATTAGAGATTTTGGTTGCTTGATGTTAGTGCCAGGCCAAGTAGTGGGTTCAGGTACATCAATTTCTCTTACAATAGATTTTTTTTTTTTTTTTTTTTGGACATCACTGTACATGAAGATGTTTCATATTACCTTACGCAGTAAACAATGTCTAGTCTAAGCTGGGCAAAAAACTTATAATTTATTAACTACTTGATTAGCTGTTTAATTGAAGATTAGAGGTGCTATAATCATAAATGTTCTTGCCTCAGTCACAACCATGGTGGGGCTAGGTTGGGTAGACCCTCTATCTGTGAAAGTCCTCCCTGGGGCCCCTTTATTTCAAATTCCTGGATCTGCCACTGACCTAAATGTACTTGAAAATGTAAAAAAAATGGCTTTAAATATAGGTATTATAAACTGTTCTATAGCATTAACCTAGAGTATGGTAAATAAACTGACCTGTGAGGAGCGATATTTTATGGTCGCTGCACCTAATTTGTGGAACATGTTGCTTTTGCTCATTCGTGAATATCTTTTTATTTAGTTTACCTTTTTTAAAGCTTGATTGAAGACTCCTCTGTTTGTTTGTTCTTAATTATATTGTACACCACTGTTTTATTTCCATGACTGAGTTTTATTAGCTTCAATTAGGAGAGGAGACATCTGAGTCAGAGATGGCCGAGTCAATCCCTGGTTAGCGAGAATGGTGCATCCCCATACTGAGGTTTGGGTGCTGGCTTGGCTTAGGAACTTCCATTTTTTATTTTTTCACATTTTCCACTTGTTCTACAGCTAGAGAGTTTTTGTATCTTGGAGTTTATAAATTGAAAATGATTAACCCATTAAAACTAAAATTATAAATGTATGTTTAATCAATTGATTTCAGGTCTAGTAGAGAACAAATATTTTGTTTTTAATATACAACTTACATAATCCCATTTATTAATATTCAGTTGAGCCCGGGGTCACATGATCACTGCTTAATATGGTTTGATTTCACTGTTTGTCACATGATCATCTAAAGGCTTGATGTGCTTATTTTTCCAGTCTAACATCTTGACAAGATTCGATGATGTACGTGAATCCGTCTCTTCGGTAAGTTCATCACACATTATACAATTAACTAATAAGCCCGCAGAGATCATTATTTTACTTGCGTATCATCATCAGTTGTGGTCTTACCATTATCCTCTTTTTTGATTCCGAGAAGAGAGTTTTAGGATTAAATTCTAAAACACATTACGAGCAACGGATTATAGTGAATTTATCTGACATTATCATTATAAGCTATTTGGTAGTGACATTGATGATTCTAACTTTGCTGCTAGAAACCATTTACGTATTTGTAGCCAAAAAAAAAAAAAAACCATAATCTTCCCAAATTCTAGTCCACTTCTTTTGCACTGATCTTAAATACTGTCACACACTTTGTCAATTAATTTGGTGTCTAGGTGCCATGGAGGTAAAATATGAGGTGCTAATATTTGTTCCTTCAGTAGTGTTAATGAAAATATATTTATGGACGGAAGAAATAGACTTGGTTTTTCGCAAACTGCATCATTAATTTGGCTCAATTGGCATAACCATGGCTACAAATTGGACGTACTGGGATAAACAATTTCAGTGGTCCACAGTGCCTTTTACATTTTTGTGACTAAGTACTGTAATTAACGGCATAATATTAATGCTCTTAAATTTTTAACCTTTTTATTCAAGTTCTTATAGGTGAAAGATGCCAATTTGTATTTAAAAGACTAGTTCATCTTCATCAATTCAAAAATATACTCCATAGCCAACTATCAGAAAAAAAGCCTTGAAATGTTACCTTTATAATATATTTAAATTGTTTAGTTCCATAAAATACAGTTACTGTAAACCGTGCTACAAAAAGAAACATTTTAAAAATATAGCTAAACACATCCTACTGTAACCAAATATAAACAAATCTTTGTGTTGCTAAATTACAATGAATTATTGATTTTGGCAATTGAAATATAATTATATTAACGAACACATGACCATGGACAGGAACTCGCACATTTTTAAACATCTTAATAGCTCATCCCAATGTAAAACCTCATGCAAAGAGGATTGTTTTCGTGTATTGTGTTCCGCCTCAACAGCCAACCAAAGAAAAATCAAGGAGGCGTACTTGCATATATAATGGGACACGCCCTCTCTCAACAAGCAACTTTCACATGTTAATTTAACTTTGTCATTCTGATGTTCATCACCACGCTATCATCTTTATTCATGCCATTCTTTCTTCTTTACAATTACAGTCAAATCGATTCCTTAAAAAATGCAATATCATGATGTCTGTTCAAATAGCTATGGTTCAATTCCCATTTATTTAAAATACAGTGCTTCACAGTTGTTCACTCACTTTATATAGTACATTGCATGTTAGCAATCGTTACACTGAAGAAGGATTTGCCGAAACATGTCTGTCTTGTACCGAGTTTTATAATAAAATTCAATTAGGCCTTGCCTATATGGTATTACGGTTGAAAATTATTGTGGTATTCTTAAGATGTATTTGCTGTCTGCTACTACACAGAACAACTATATTGTCTATTTTTTTAATTTCATAATTTTGTATGCATTTTTCAGGATCAATGTAGTATTGACTATTTAGTTGATTGCTTCTATCATTCATCGCTCAAGACTCTCATTGTATTGGCTGGTAATCACAGGTGAGTGGCCTAATATTGAGGGCGCTATACTCTGTTTTTCTTTGGCAACACATTTGTCATTTTGTTGATCTATTTCTTTTTGTTCAACTATTTCTTTTTGTTTGTGTAATTGTCACCAAGTCACATTGTTGTATATTTTATATGACAAAACAAGTTGTCTGCTTTCAAGTTACTGCAAGTTACATTACTGTAAAATATATGTGGCAAAGGAAAGCCAAACCAATCACTCCTATCAAATAGTGTTCGAGATAATGGCATAAAAATGTTCAAATTTCAAAATTTTCTAAATCCATTTTAATGAACTAAACTACCCTTTGTATATCTATACATCATGCTATGTTGTTGCATTTTTCATATTAAAACAACATTTTTTAACAATTTGGTGATGGTCTTTCTCTGAGGAATATCCAAAAACTTTGAAGGCTGATTTCTCAAATACTGTTCTTTAAACAGCTGTGTGTTTAAACTTATGTAACTGGTGCTTTGGCTTGTCTTTGCCACATATTATGATATGACTTGTCAGCAGAAGAATTACAGTTGTCTTCTAATATATCAGTCAGATTTATATAAGCCTCATCACCAATGTAAGAAACCAGCAAACACCAAAATTACATTGAGAAGATTATTATTTTTAGGTTTCATACAAGGCGCCTACCCCGGAACCTCACTGTGTGTTCTTGTTCTTGTTCTTGTTACCAAAACTTTAAAGTCAGGCTCCGGAGGAAAACAATTTTTGGATATGTTATAGAACTGATTTTTCTAAGACACAAAAGAGTACTATTGATCAAAAACTGAACAACGGTGAATGAGATACAGATTTTTTAATATTTAAAAACTGGGGGAAAAGGTCTAAAAATTGGCATTTACACCCTTTTTTTTTCCCGCCAGTTTTGTATATTCAAAAATCAGCAGCATTACAGTGTGGATATGATGAATAACTATTTTATTGTGGTAGAAGAACTTGTTTGTAAATGCTATTTTGATAAGTATTCGTCAAAGAAATAAACATTTCTTTCAGTAGTCACTTTTTTGGTTGGTACAGACAGGTAAAATCGTGCGATGACTAGGCTAGGCTACGACCTAGGGAGGAGTTCCCGGCGGCCTACACCTAATTTCATTCCTTGAGTCTAGAATATTCCTATTAAATATTCAGTTTGTTTAGTTTATGAGGGTCCATTGATTCAAGGAATTCCTTAAGTGTGCATACTTAATGTTGAATTTGAAGTAATTTTTTTCGGTTCTAATTAACGTTGTTTTACATACACACAAACCTTAAAAAAATCAAGCCGAGCATCCGCTATGTGAAAAATTATTGGACTGTGTGTGATAGGTAAATAGCATCAGGAGTTGCAGTGATGATGTCACAATAGACTTACAATAATAACTATAGATTTATAAAGCGCACATAACCATTGCAGTAGTGTTCAAGGCGCTACAGGAGGAGGAACCAAAAATTTCTGTGAAACTTAAAGCTACTAGAAAAGAAACACCACACACATCACCGCACCATTTAAAGGGGCTGGCCTATTCATTAACTCACAGGTACTCGAGTAAGAGGGGTGCAAAACAAAAAGAAATCTAAGAAACTGAAAATGCAGCCGGCAACAGATGTGTCTTTGGATCTTCTTTAAATAAAGCAGTAGACTGGCATGAACGAGGTTATTCCAAAGACGTGGAACAGCAACTGCAAATGATCTAGCACCCCATACACATGTAAACCTAGGCCCAACAAGCAGAAGTTATTTACCAGAACGGAGAGTTTGTAATGGCATATACCAAGGTAATTTAACAAAAGGACGCACATCTCACACACATCACCGCACCATTTAAAGGGGCTGGCCTATTCATTAACTCACAGGTACTCGAGTAAGAGGGGTGCAAAACAAAAAGAAATCTAAGAAACTGAAAATGCAGCCGGCAACAGATGTGTCTTTGGATCTTCTTTAAATAAAGCAGTAGACTGGCATGAACGAGGTTATTCCAAAGACGTGGAACAGCAACTGCAAATGATCTAGCACCCCATACACAACTTAGGCCCAACAAGCAGAAGTTATTTACCAGAACGGAGAGTTTGTAATGGCATATACCCCACCAGCAGTTCACGAACAGACTTTAAAACTTAATCTTTCAGTGTCTTGAAAGTAATGAGCAAAATCTTGAAGATGCTCCTGAAAGAAATAGGTACCAATGAAGTTGTTGTAAAATATGAGTAATGTGCTCAAATTTCTTTGTTCCTGTAATGATCCTAGCAGATGTATTCTGCAACAGTTGAAGGCGATACATGGATCTCTTAGAAATACCAAATAAGAGAGAATGCCCAAAGTAAAGATATGAAGTAAAAGAATGCATGAATCAGTTTCTCTGTTGCTTTTGTAAAAAGGTACTTCACAACAAAGGATTACTTAATCTTAATAGATTTAAGCAATTAAAGTCTCGTCATCATCAATTTAGTATGTATAAGCTTTTAGTGTTATAACCAATCACAACAATGTATCTGCTTGCTAAAAGCATCATTAGGAGTGACACAAATAATCAAGTAACCATTACAGATTGTTGGATAAGTACCGAGCCTAATCACGTAAATGAATGTTGTTTGACAATCTCGTCCATCTTGTAATGGATAAATGGATGAAATATAATGATTGGAGAATAACCGTAAACTCGCACTGTCATTGTGCTAAGTTGTGTATGGCAAAATTAAAAACCAAAAACTTTCATATGGTCATCAGTTCTATAGGTAATTAATACCACAGGAATTTAGGCCTGCAATTACTTAACAAGAACAATATGTATGATATATAACAATATATATATACACACACATACATACATACATAATTATATTATATTATAATTATTATGTAATATTTTGTCATAATGTATAATATAATTATATACTGTAGAACTGTTTACAAAATAATTATATATTGTTATATATGTGTTATGACACATATATATTTTAAAAATTAAAAAATACCTGTTAGAACTACTTTAATTTTATTCATTTAATTTTACCATTTTCGTTAGGTTGCCTTTCAATCTCAGTGTTCTAAAGTACTAAATAGAACTCCATTCCGATACATGCTATCGCCAATTTATTTGGCAACTCTGAGTGGTCAGCTGAATCAGGGCGCTTTCCCAATTGCGTTGCGGACAGCTAGGCAGTGGAAGGATTCTACTGGAAATAGTCTACTGAGGGCGACAAGACGCGAATTTGCATCCACACCTGTTTAAACATAACACTTTTTTGTATCGCATGTAAACTCGGTGACAGAGGTAGCCAAAATACAAATTTTTGCTCTGGCAGTTTAGGAAAAATCCCGGAAACAGTGATCATAAATACCATTCATTGTGGTGATGCTGTCTGTGCCTTTTTTATTCGCATTTTATTCTGTTGATTGTTTTTTTTTAATTATTTTTCGCTGACAGCACTAATATGGTTATTTAAACTGTTTTGGACTCCATAGGAAATAAATCCTTGGGCTTTATTGGTAAATCCAGGCATCTTAACTTTTTAATGTACTTCTTAATTTAGTTTGTTATGTTGTATCTTTGTAACCTGTTTGAAACTGAATTTTATTTGTTATTTTTTATGCTAAATTCAAGTCCTTCTCTGCCCTGATACCCTAAATACCTTGTGAATGTATTGGATATATTCATGTTTCTGCAGAGTTAATTATGCTAAAGTTTCGTATGTCTGATTAATTCCTACTTCTTAGTGAAAATTCACACATCGGGGAGGCTGTACTTTTACTGTGCAGCATAAAAGGAGTATTTCTAGTTTTCTAATACCCCTTCCAGACAGACCTGCAAAACGGTATTAATACCGTATTACTCGAATTACGCCTAAATGCCGGCTGAGGCATAACAAATCAGACGGTCACACGATCGAGCAGCCATCAACCGCTGCTGCAGCTAACAAAGCCGATGGAATCGCTAGCTGACGGTTCTTTTAGACGCGAAAATCGCCTGCACCTAGCTGCTCGAAATTCAAGCCGGCCTCGCCTTAAACGCTTCTTAAATTCTTTCTTCCCTTGAACGAAACGCATTAGAAACCTTCTGTTTCTCAATTTATATGTATTGCAAACATAGCAAGCATTAAAAAACATTTGCAAAGCAGCAGTTTTATGACTTCATCCCCAGCCATATTGGATTAATGGAGTAAACAAAAACTTGCGCCCTCTTTGTTAACAAGCACAAGCACCACAGACATCAAATACTCCTTTCCGCGAGAACCCTTTCAGACAGGATATGGTATTATTACCGTATTTTAAATAGCTGTGTGAAAGGGTCTGCGCCGGCAATAACGGCGGCGTGATTAGGGTATTATTGCGGTATTTTCTGTCTGAAAGGGGCTTAATTTTGCTAATAATATTTTAGTAATTTTTGTTAATGTAATATTAACCATTTCAGCTTTTAGCTGCTGTTTGTAAATGCTTGCATTTTATACCTGAATAAATAAATAAATAAACAGTGTATCATCAGAACAATATGTTGTCATTTCTTCAACATTTACATTCACTTTTTTAAACTTTTTATTTATTGACTTTCTAATTAACAATACAATTGAAATATCTCATTATAGAAAAGTAGATATGTATTCTGAAAATCATTATTGTCTGCTTTATCATTCAAACAGTAATATTTTTACTTTGTTGCAGTGGTGAACAGACACTTTTAACAATAGGCAAAGATAAGCTACATCCAGTCCATCGATTGTCAGGGGGACACTCTGCTACTGTGCGATGTCTGCATTGGAATGATCAGGTAGAAAGTCATTTAGTGATGTGAGCCCTCTGTTGGTCGTGTGATGACAGTTGGTTGTGTATCCATTGTCACTACAAAAATAGACTACAAAACACGTTCTAAAGCTCAGTTCATGGCGGCTATCAAATTTTATGTGACAGTGGCGTGCCCATATATGGCCATGATGATGTCATATAACAACCAATATGGGCATATCACACCCAAATATGGGCATATCACACCCAAATATGGACATATCACACCCAAATATGGACATTAATTATTTATTAGCTGAAACTCTTGTTTTTGAAATTAATTAAAATTTTTTTTTAAACCTTAAGGTGATACTTTTTTATACCTTGTTTAGGCCACCTGCCAATAATAATGACCAATTATCACACCTGCCGCCAGTGTCTAAAAAAATATAAAAATTCTTGCCTAATCTATATAAATATGTCATATCTGAACTTCATTTATGTAGCTTGTGTATTTCACAAAAAACAATGCATTTCCGACTCATCACTGTCTTTGTTTACTATGAATTAGCCATACCCATGTATGACATCTCTGTTTTCCAGCCTGTGGGCTGTGGGAAGAAACACTGCTAGGGATCTATTCTGTTAAAGTATTGTTTTTGGGGGTTTTTTTATTGCATTGTTTTTCAATTAAATACTATTAACTTCAAGCTTACAAATTTTGTATTTTCACGTTTTCAGACGGGAAGCCTTGTAACAGGTGGTGAGGATGCTATCATATCTTTATGGCAACAGCAAGATAATATTCGGGAGAATCCGAAAAAGAAACTGATGGAAGAGAGAAAAGTGGAGAAGTCAAATGCAGCGAATTCAGTCAGACGATCTGAGAAGAGGGGATCACCACTAAAGGTAAAATGTAACGTGATCAACTTGTGTCTTTGCCAGCATCATTATCATGTGTTATAATTGTGTTCTTTAACGTACACACGGACCATAATGCACACAGGACCACAGACGGTGCGCTATCGTAACTTGCATTTCAGCCTTCCAGCTGAAACACAAGGAGAACAGCGATGGGAATTGGACAAGGACCTAGAAATATTCACGGTTCAGCGCACACATAGTGGCTACCACTAAGCTGCTCTCTCTATGGTTGGGACAACAAAAACACACTTGATGTCTTATTAGAAAACTACTGTAGGTGATACTTTCATGGACTAATACTAATAGAAATAATAGAAACATGAACAAGACGTGCAGTGACATAACGGTGATTCAAAGGCCTTAGGGGAAAAAAGTGTTTGGTGCCCCTGTATTTATGTTGATTGTTTTTGCCCGCGAATTATGCGAAGAAGATTTGTGTTTGTGAAGGAAAATTTCCTCTCCCACAAGAATAAAACGAAAGAAGAAAAATTGTATTATAGGAAATGATTTTTTATGATGAGGCAGGGCCTGTTGTGTGACTAGTTACTGTTCTTGTTCTTTGAAGCTTTCAGAAATCTGTTTGATAATATAGTAAAGTGCTGGGTAGTAGTAAGAGGCGGTTCCCTGTGGCCTGTCTGGGCCCATTGGTGCTGGGGATTGGACGTTGAAACCGGAAAACACACAGGCATTACGCCATTGATCAAGGCTCCTTGGTAAGGTTCTATGTAGTTGCAGTGGCCCCCAGGGCCACTTTGGAGCTAGAGCCTGGGGCTGTGCCGCTCCCCAAGAACTTGTGTGCGTTACGCCACTGACGAAATGTCTTCACCAGGCATTACATTATTTGTAAAAGTATTGTGTGAATAAATAAATGTTTATTTGAATTTAATTGAATTACAATCAATTCTTTCTAACTCTCACGTACAAAAGCGCTGTCACATAAATAAAACTGTGCGTACATTACTCTGGTACCCTGTTGACCATACAGTGTGAATTCAAGGGAGGGGGCCCAGCTGGCCCAGGTCCCCCTAATTTTTTTCAAGATTTTTAATGAAATAGAGGAAAATGAAAGTTGATCTCAAATTTAGGTCTGAGAGTGCCATTTCCAGCCATCTAGAGGTGCCGTAATCATAATTGTCTTGACCAGTGTAATTTAACAAACAAATTATTGTACATTCTAATTTGTCTCTAGTTCTGTCAACAAGTGTTGTCCCGCCAGATTGATTTCTTGTGTCTGCCCAATAAGTTAATCAAGTTTGTTTCCATCATTTTTGGAAAAACACTTAGTCATTGATAATCTCTTCATCATTGATGGTTTGTTATTGTGTAGAGGTCGTTGACATCTAGTTCAGTGACATGCCATTGTTTCTTTGTTTACATTTTTGTCTACCCTTTTAAGAGAAGATTTGTCAGTCATGAAACGTTGACACACAACTGGCCATTTATAATGGTGTGGGTTGTCTTCAATAATGTGTCTCATTCAGTTGGCCTTACTAATGAGAAGCAATCTCTCCAGAATATTATGCATTTTTACAAAAGTTTATCTCTGGGAATAATATTACTATTGGTTGGCAGTATGATAAGTTTTTTTCTTTATATAGGTATTTGCACAATTCAGCACAAATGCTTAGGTATAGATAAAGCTGTGTTACACCATAAAGATTTATTATATCTCTAAGGTAACATTTATCCTTAATGTTTAGACTAAAGGATGATAATTTTATATGGTCACATAAATTACCACTTAGACGGACACATAGGAATGCCACTGCTTCACCAATTATCGTATTATTTGATAATACCCTGCAGTATGTTGGTCTTGTATTGCATTTCATTTTCTGGTATTATTCCGTCCGTCAAGGAGGTTGTGTGTTGACCGTTGGATGGATCATCATAAAATTTAGTGGAATGATACATGATAATCTAAGAAATCAATATTATGAAGAAAAGGTCAAGGTCATAGAAATTTTGTACCCACAAGCAAAACTAGGCTCTAACTGTCCTGCATATTGTTAGGTATTCATTAATAGGGCACAGGTATGTGTCTCTCTCATGAGGTAAACAGGAGTAATTTAAAACAGTGCCCTCTTTCGACTGGATAGCAAAGCAACCTGTGAAAGATGTAGTTTTGGAAAGCCTTTGTAACACAGTATACACTGTTAATGAAGTCGTGCAAAAAGAAAATGTGGCCCAGAGATCATACAAAATCGTGTACCGAAAAGTTTTGTTAGGTGTGCCATCAGTCGGGGTGGAGTGGGAGGCAAGCAGAGGCAGTCCACCCCCTCTTAAATTACTGATAATTTGAATTTGAGAGAATTCTAGATGGTTGCATGAAAATTGGGAAAACTCATGATTGTATCGGGAGAATTGGAATGTCTATAATTATGTGTAACCAAATGCTATCCCCTAGTATGAAGTGATCCCACATCAATTTCCAGTCAAAATAGCATTTATTCATCCATCATCATTTTCAGCCAAGAAATGCGTCACCCTTACACAGATGCTTTGCTTCACCATAGCATCTAAACAATTAAATGATTCTGATACCCAATTGACCACATCGACCCTTGACCCTAAAACCATTATCATGTACAACTGCAGTGAAAACTTGTGTGTTACATTTCATTATAATGTGTTAATCAGGTAACAGAAAACTTACCTATAGTTTTCATGATGTATATATGATTTTATCTGAAATGACTATCTCTTTTTCAAATATACTCAGTTTGTAAGAGCATAGCTAAGTTAGATTTCCTATTTTCCATCCTTCTTTTTTTCATTATTGCTTTAATCATATCATATCATCATATAATTTATTTCACTTTTATGTCACAGAACAGAAGAACAATACAAGATTAAATCAACGCAGCAGGATTGACTAAATGTTATAAATAAAATAAGAGGCTCTCCATATTGAAATACAATTAAAACATTAAATTATATAGAAATATGTGATTTTTTTAAAAGAATTATTCATTGTAAAATATGTGATTTATTTTTTTTTAAGAATTATTCATTGTTAGTATTTTGCACAGTTCAGTTCTACAGAAAGAGCCCTAAAAAAGAGCTCTTTTAAATTAATGCCCACATTTCAGCATCTAATTTGCGTCATTATTTAATAAAAATTGAACTGGTTTTCAAGATGATAATCAACAAAAGACTTATGTGGAACGAAGGAGCAAGTTAATGAGCACCATTGTAGCCCATCCTCAGATTTCATCAGCAATAAAAATTGCTAGGAAATTGCTCTGGCCCACAACAATTACCCATTACTATTATTTTGCACCCATGAAAACAAATTGATGACCCCTGTTCTATACAATATCACCTCAATTATTGGTGATTGTTCAACGTATAAATTAAAAGTGGTAGTCATAGCATAGAGTGAGTATTGATGTGCATAGAGTCATTTTGATCTACTATAATATCTTAATCTTTATGTATGAATGACAACCTAGAATGAATGAAGAACTGTTTGTTGGCAAACACAAGCATACAGTGATGTGGTACCATTGCAAAGCTCATCTTATAATAGTACTTCCAATGTTTATGCCGCATTAAGAGATAAATGTGATTACACGACTTTCAAGAGATAACATTTTTATACCACATTAAAAATTAATTTGATTACATCCACATTAATAATTAAGAACCCACATAAATGATAAAATATGGCTATTTAAATCATCGGGTAGAACATTAAAATATAGATTTTGTTTTTAATTTTATGATTATCAGCAATTTAAACAAAATTGCTGTTACGAATTGAGAAAATTGTGGGTTAGTTACATTTTCATTTTTAGTTTTATACATATGACTGAAATATCACAGTAAGATTGCCACATTTTAGACGTTTGACCCGAAAATGTATGGCTATAAATACATTAGGTGAAGTAGTACCTGCCAGGGGAGAGATGCCTCTTATGTGCTATATACAGTATTAGTATATCTACAGATCAACTTTCATTTATTTCTATCTTTGTTGGTCTATTTTTACATCTGCAAAGGTAGTTCAAATTCAATTTGGGAGCTGCATTACCCTTTAGCTAAAATCTAGCCAATTTTTCTTCTATTTGCAGATCCTGATGTTTTTTAACTGAAAACATCAGTGGTGGATTCAAGGGGGCGGGGGTGGGATAGAGGATAGAGACCCAGCCCTTTCTAAATTTTTCAAAATTATCAAAGAATGGAGAAAAAAGGAAAATTATATTCAAATTTAAGTCTGAGAATGCCATTTCCAGCCATCTAAAGGTACCATAATCATATCCTTACCCCAGCCTCAACCATGGTGGGGCTGACGTTGTATAGACTCTCCATTTGTAAGGTTTCTTCCTTGGGCCCCCTCTTTTTCGAATTCCTAGATCTGCCATTTAATATTTTACCTACTTAGCAGCCTTATGGATCAGGTGAAGTGATCAAAAACCATAAAATTACCTAATCAAAATTATATTTGACAATTAGATCAATTGGTTGTATGTAAAAATGGCCCCCTGTGAAAATGGCCCAGGAAAAAATGGCCCTGGAAAAAATGGCCCCGGAAAAAATGGCCCCAGTAAAAATGGCCCTAAATGACAAGGTAAAAATGGCCCCAATGAAAAAATTCAGTAATAGAAATGATATTTTTTTTTAAATCTTCAAATATTTAAATACTGTAATAAGCAAGAATTGAATCAATAAATAAAAAATGGCCCTCAATTATAAAATTCAAAATAAAAATTTTAAATGCTGTAAAATACCCTGTAGCAAAAATTGAATTAATAAATCAACATAAACCATATGCATATTTGAGAACTAAAATAACTTAGTTTTTAGCTCCTAGGATATGAGTAGCTCTAGGAGTACCCTGCTGATTGATTAATTAATAGATCTTTTTTGTATGGGCGGCTGTTAGGTCTAAATATTTTTTTAAATTATTATTATTAGAGATAATTACTATATTAATGGTATTGCTAAATCCCACAAACCTTCCAAAACACACTGTAGAAAACCAAACAAATTCAATAGTGATTGACTCACTTGGTATAGGCCTATCAATAAGGAATTTAAATATTCATAAGAACCTATTTTTTGGTTAGAATGTTGATTTTTTTGTGAAAAAATACTTGCAAATACACCACAAACCTCCAAACACTGCGAACCCCATCCAAACCATTTAACTATGATTGTAGAACTTTCTTTTTCTTAAAAAAATAAATAGGCCTAATAATTTGATGTTCATATCAACCCATTGTTTGTGGGGTTTACCAATACCCGGATTGAATTTCTGGAAAATTGTGATTCCGCTTCTGTGAAATTGGCCACAAATAAATTATTTTAGTATTAATAAATGCATGATTTATGTTGATTTATTGATTATATTTTTGCTATTTTTTAACATTTAAATGGAAAAAAAAAATAAAAAGTGTTATTCATGGCTTTTTTTTTTAAATCTTTGAATATTTTATAATTTTAATATATAATTCCTGCAAAAAGTAAAATGTAAATGGCAATTTATTTGATGTTAGATTCCTTTTAAAAACTGAATTATTTCAATTTTACCTACCTGTCATTTGGGGCCATTTTTACCAGGGCCATTTTTATAGGGGCCATTTTTTCCTGGGCCATTTTTATAAGGGCCATTCTTACCGTACACCAGATCAACCTGAGCATACAACCTAGTTCTGCAGTTTGTCTCTTACTGGTTGGCTGATGTGAACTACTAGAAAAGCATACTGATCCTAATCCAGATTTGACATGTCCTATTCAATTTCATCACAAATTTGTGGAATTTTATCTTTTTCTCTTTTTTTTTTTTCCCCTTTTTTTTCCCCTTTTAGTAGTATGACAACTGCCACTTTTATTTATCAAAGTATCAATTATGTTCTTAAAATAGCATGATCTACTGCTTTACTAATGTACAATATTTCAATAATTCACCTTTTTTCAGACTTCTCATCTTTTTTTTTTGTAACCTATTTATAATACTCTTGAGCACAATATTTGTTAGATAAAAACATAAGATTAATGGAGGTGATTAATCTCAATAATGTACAAAATCTTATTTTGGATAAGCCTATATACTAGTATTTTTTTTTTATTCTAAAAAAATATATTGTCGATAGCGTAGCTCAGAAAAAAGCTAACGTTTTTTTACGAACAGAGAATTCTGGTGGGGGGTGGGGTTGGTAGTAGGTGATGAGTTGATCATTTCATAACTCAGTGGTTCCAAACTTAATCACACACAACTATTACACACTATTTTATCATTTTCAGATGTCAGTTGAGTAAATAAAAAAATACAAAATACAGTAGTTGGTTTATTTTTTTTGTGCTATATTTCATGATGTTTTGGCCTGTGTTGGCCAGATCTACAATATTGAAAAAGTAATTTTTTCAAATTTGTACAGCATTTTTGTCAGATTTCCTGTGTGAACTCTTGAGCTTTAGCCCTGGAGCCCAAGGCAGCAAAGTTGAAGTTCCCATCCTTATTCTGTCAATTCAATCTCATGGCCCCACTCTCCTGCCTCCCCCCATCCCCACCCTAAAAAAACAAAAATATTGAATCCCCACCACTTTTAATCTCCTGCCCAATGCTTTAATTGGGTCATTGTTAATCCTTCATGGTCATCAGCCTCATCAGGATTGCATTTGAATTCAATTTGCATATTAGTGCCCCTCCACCCCCCCCCCCCCCCCTCCACCACCCCCCCCCCCAACCACATACACTCACATTCCCATCATACACTTTTATTCCCATCAGCCCCATCATCACCCAGATCAAAGAAATAATAAATTAGTTGTAAATATTCCTAGATCCTCGTACACTGGTCTGAAAATAAATGCAAGGTTATGGTAATTTTTTTTTTTGTAGATATATTTTGTTTGATCCTCCTTTGACTATCAAGCCATTGTTAGCCAGCAGATCTTGAAGAATCCATGCACATAAAGAAGTTCATTGTTATGTGTCTTAGTCTCCTTACTTGACTCGTACGTACGTGTAAGCCTTTGAGGCAATCAATCAGCAGGAAGGTAACGCTTCCGATAATTGCTACTTGCAATAACATGAGCATTGTGATAATGATGACACAGGTATGTGGAACAATGGCGTTAAGAACAAGGAGAGAATGGGGACTGTTGACAGTTCTTTCACACTGCTGTGTTTGTTATGAATCATACAAAAGCAGCCTTGATTCTGTGTTTGAAGACTTCTTAAAGAGTTCAAAATAATATTGGGTTGTTGGATTACTTTACTCTGAACAGTAAAACATACATCATATATTTCCGTCTTTTTTCCCATAGATTCTATACATAATTTTCTTGCCAATTATTGGGGACCGACAAAAGTTACATATGTTGAGCAGCTTGTTAACATCCAAAAATCTGTGACTAGAATTGCCTTTGTCCGTGGAGGTGGGGGAGAGGTTTGAAGATCTTCCTACCTACAAGGATCAGCTCAAGCTGTTTAATTTATGCCTTTGGATTTCAGGAGGGTGTCCAGGGTTTGGTATACTGATCAGTATAATAATTGGGCTGTCTCTTAATTGGGTGGGGGGGGGGGGGGGGTAGAACCCAGCTTCTATGGATATTTCATTGGTAATGAAGTCCTACCATAATGATAGATTATGCATACCACCCTATTCCAGAATGCCCTGTATGTCGAGCAGTTGAAACTCAGAAACTTTCTTTATCTTGACATCCGTTCCCAAACAAACCTTATATCTTTTAAAACTACATTTTTAACTGTTTTAATGGGCAAGTGAATGTATGAATTTTATCTTTTACTGTTTACTGTTTTATTTTTTACGTTTTATATATTTTTATATGTACTGTAATATTTTCATTTTATTTTATTGTATTTGTAATTGACCTGGTGCTTAGAGATGACTACTTGATGTGTTAGGCTTTGGACCATGTCATCTCTAATCATGCCTCTGGTCAATAGTACTATAGTACCTCTGGTCAATAGTGATGAATTTGTAATAAATAAGTACATATGTTCGAAGTCCATTGGCAAGCCCCAAGAACCACCAGCAGTTATTTTGTGGTAGACTAATATGAAAAAAAAATGTTAGATGCTCTTACAAGCATCTACACTACTGTAGATTTGAGGGCTTATATATTTTGGTAAGTGGGTGGGGGCTATTAACCAACCTTTTAACCTCACTCACCCAGATCTGACACTGTGAATATATTGTCATGGTCATATGTCATATAACATGAAATAACAGGTGGATACACTATAGGCATAAGTGGAGAAGTCCTCCATCTGACTGACCAAAGTCATCCCTGTTGTTGAACAGGCTAAACTCCCAAATTTGGCCACGACTTGCCAAACCTAAGTACATTCTAAAACATCTCAGAACAAATACAGATCTTTTATTGTCATAAAAATACAAGGTAAAATTATGAAATTTTCCTTCCTTATTGCAAATCTACTCCAGTATAAAAATAAATATAAATATACTAAAAAGCACATACGGTAACACAAAAACACGATTCTAACTACATGAATTCTACTAACAATATACATTATCTTAGTTTCCTCTAATTAAATTCTATAATTGCTGATGGCAGAAAAGAGTTTTTAAATTTTCCGGTTTTAATATTCAGCATTCTAATTCGTCCGGATTTATTAATCATTATTTCCCCATGCAAAGGGTGTGTTTTATCAGCTATGATTAAGTTTAGTTTCTTATACAGAAGGTCAGAGTAGAGAGCCTCGAGTTCCACCATGTTCTTTCCTACTACTTTACCAGCAGCTCTAACGACTCTATCTAGCCTGCAATGGTTGGCCTTGGTTATACTGTTACCCCATACAATACAGCAGAAACTAAGTACTGATTGGATAACAGATACGTAAAACAATTCCATAATCTTGCTACATAAATTGAACCTTTTCATCTTCCTTAAAAAATACAGACATATATTGCATTTTGCATATAATTTATCAGTATTGAAGTTCCAATTAAGTTTGTTATCCACAAAGTTCCCCAGATATCTGTACTGAGATACAACCTCTACTTGTTTATTATTAATTAACAAAGAATCATGTTGTTACAGACTTCCTATGATCAATAATAATCTCTTTTGTTTTGTCAATGACTGTGGTTATTAAGGCACCAATCAATGAAAGAATCAACATGATGTTTATATTTATCGACATGATCTTTCTCTTTTTTTTTCAGCTTAAAATGACCCAAAATTTCCCAGATTCCCTAAGCAACAGAAACCTGGCTCTCTCAGTATCCTAAAGCCCCACTGGGATATACGAAATTCATAGATGGTTTACCAAAATGTAAATACTAATAAGATACCCAACCTCATCATATGTTTTCATCCCAAAATCCATACTTTCCATTCATCTCTCTGCTAATTAATTCAATTAATGTTCAATTTATTTTTAGGAACCATTTGAGAAGACCACAAAACGGCTACAGCGATTGACATTACAGCAAGATGGAAACCCCTATGCAAAATGAAGTTGATTCTACAAGATATGGGAAAACAGAATGGCTACGATGGTGCCGTTTTATGGATGATCAAGAACCCGGCACAGGTTCTGCTGTTTTCCTATCCAAATAAAGCTTTTTGCAATATTTTTTTTAGGATAAGCTTTTGGATTGACAAATTAATTTGTAAATAACGACATGTAATTGTTATCTGTATGCAAATTTTTGACTTTTGAACTTCCATGTCAATTTGAGCTTTATGAATATGCAAAAGAGTTGTCAATACTTTTTTGCTTAAAAGGTGAACACAAAAACTGTATATACTGTGAAAGGAAAAGATCATGGCACATTATGCTTTTTGCAGAATGATTTTAATCAAATTTGTATTATAGTTATTACAAAATTCATTGCTTGAAATACTAATTAATTTTTACTAAGTAATGTTTGTGATGGTTTATGCATAATACTCACCCACTCATGTCAAATAGGAAACACATAATATATTTGGTTTATATTCTTGTTGTATAAACACACTTTGTTTATGACATGCATGTATCTAAAACTTCAGTACTCGCATGTGTTGTTAAAAGCATATCCTTTTGTATATAAAAATAACTATGTTAGCATTAAGAATAAGAGTGACAATGTTATTATATTATCTACATTTTATAGGTTATGTGGGTGAGTATTTATTCTTAACATTTTAACATGAATATGGTGACAACTAACTCACTTAATAATAATATTACTCTCTGTGTTTCCATAAACCTATGGAAAAATAATGGAATTATCATTGTTACAGATACATTATCACAAGCACAAGTTTGCACTATCAGTATTTCTGGAAAATACTGAAATTCTACCATGTCAAGTAATTTACTATAGTTCTTCTGGTATAACCCTGCCTTGAACACAAAATTGGGCCATTTTGGTGGTGGTTTTAAACCTCCTCTTCAATCAAAAGGCAATTTTTTTAGCACTACATGCCTAATTCAAAGCTGATATTTGATTTATTTTTTTAAGTATTTGTAAAAGTCAGCTAAGTTTCCGCACTACAAGTATAACTTAATATTATTAACCTATTATTTTACCTATACCCTTGGATTTTGCCCGAGGAAAGGCATGTACATAAAATTGGAGGTAATTTAGGGGGTGGGCAGCGGGGCTTATACCCAAGGAACTATTGTATTAAGTAAAACACTAGCTAAGTTATCATGACCTTTCATTTTACAGAAATATGCTAAAAAACACCTTTGAAAACAAGTTTGTTATCTTTATTTAACTTGAATTTTGAACAAGAAACTGTTTTCCTTGTCAACTAACGAAGGTAATGTAATTTTTTGTATTCCTAACACAATAATTCTTTATCAGTGATGTTGATTAATATAGCGTGTCATGCTGGACATTCTATGTGCTTTTACTTAAACTCGAAAAAAGGGAATGTAACAGAAAGATGAGACACTATCTAAAACATGGGTTTAGGATACAAGTATTTTTGGTATGAAACCAGGCATAACCCACTAAATCTTTAGACTTGTTTCCAGTTGGGTCCTTCACATAGTAAGCCGTACACCAGAAGGCAAATAATCTTCTGTGCATTTGTGAAGAGTATACTTTATTTTTTAGCATGCACACAGCCCATTGCACCCAGGAACAGTGACCTCAACATCTCATCTGCTGGAGTGGGCTGAGTAAACCTGCTTAAGCTGGTTTTCCACTAGGCGCATTTATTTGTGCGAATCAAATGCGCATTCACATTTCTGTCGGAGTTTCGCTTCAACGAAATCGGTAGTTCCAACAGTTTCTACTTTTTGCGAAGCGAAAAAAAATGCGCAGCCAATCAGAGCTCAGGAAGCGAACCAACGCTTTCGATTCGCACGGATAAATTCGCCTAGTGGAAAACAGCCTTGAAGGTTAAAGAGCAGCTTAGCTCAGTTGGATCAACTATTGGTAGCCACTGTGTGGTCCCAAATTCCCATCACAGCTGTCCGTGTATTTCAGCTGGAGGGCTGAAATGCGAGTTGCGATAGTGCACCATCTTTCTGATGATACGTTTTAACTGTAGGTCCCATGTGCATTATGGCCCATGTGCACATTAAAAAACACAGTACATTCTTTGGAAATGAGTAGGGGATTATACCCTGGTGGACTGCCCAATCATTACCAAAAGGACCCCACTGGAAATAAGTCTTCTTCAGACTTTCATGGGTTATCTTTGGTGTTTAGACCAAATAAATCCATCCAACCATAGAGTGGAGGTGGGGACTGAAACCAACACGTGACTGATACCGTTGGGGTTGAAATAGGTGTCTAGCTGCAAGTACCAACTTGCAAAAGCTGGACGAATGAAATTTATTCATTTTTTAACTCGTTCATAACGTCACATAATGAATTTTATCTGTAAATGATTTTCTAATTCTGATTTTCTTCCTCCTGTGATTGGCTGAGATGCAGTGCATCATATTATATAGCCATATTCACTTTTATCGGTCAGTAGGTTGAATGTACATTCTAATACATTGTGTATTACAATAATTAAGATTAATATTTATACATAATTATAATTAAGTATAAGTACCATCTTATTCATTATTATCGAAATTAATAAATGTTAAACAATTATGATCGAAATACATGTAAAACTATTATACAAACTTAGTTCTGATATTTGCCAGAAGATTAGAGTAAATTACGTGCATTGTGTGATACAAGTATTGTAGAGTAGGTGATGAATTTAATTGTTTTAAGTTGGTTTCCCTTAAGTATTCACAGTGAGGCTTTCTGTCACTAAATTAATAGTAGTGAATTATCATTTCATCCATGCTGCAAATTTTATATTAATAGACTAGAATATTATTCCAACACAAAAGTGGTAATATGAATGTTAAGCCAGACACTTACCGTTTTGTACGAGGTCGTACAACCATCGGCCAACGAATCCAACTCCCGTTTCAGCGTTAAGGCCAACTTAAACTCTGTTGTACAACTCAACCTGACGCGATTTGTTGTTGTGTTGGGTCTCTGAGTTAAACGCAGACGCGACGGTTTGCGTTGAAGACAGCTGCGTCATAGAATATTAATATTTAATATTTCTCACGACAGCCCCCGACTGTCCCCGACGATGAATCACGTCGGGCTGCTTCGTACGACACTGTCTGAGTTGGCATTAAGACAACGAGACGCTGTCTACTGATTGCCGGTGTCAATCTGAATGGATCAACATTGAAAACGATCTTTTGCACGCACATCGTGGCGTTGCATTCTCCATAGAACCGCGTTGGCCGGCGACCATCAGATTCAGTGGGTGCTCAGCTTTATGGATTTCCCAACATGGTTTACTGCCTGTCATTGTAAATAGTAGATATATACTTGCCACAAGTCCTTTATTATTTTTTCTCATTCTGGACAACACCCACAAGTAAATTAATTTAGAGATGGAATCGAAAAAAAAAAGAAGTAAGTAATCAAGTATTGGACGTTAATTAAATTTGGTAGGACGCGCACTAAGCACAATACATAGTGAATAACCCAAATTTATGGCCTGGAACCCAGGCTGTTATGCGCCGCACCAAACATGGTTTTTTTCGTTAAGCTCCGCATTCAAGTAAGTGCTTAATCAAGAGCATGTTGAGAAGCAGGATTTTAAATACAATGTATACAGTGCTTCATAAACGTTTGTTTACGATGACTTAGGACCTATGTGAATACGTGAAATAGGTAACATGGGAACGGGCATGCAAACCGCCATGCAAATGTTTTTTATAAGCCCCACTCTCGAATAAGCGCCGCTCTCAAATAAGCACCTTACTCAGTGGCATAGCAGGCGGGGGCAGGGGAAGCAGACTGCCCCGACGGACGGTTTTTACCAGGCTAAACTAGCCGTCGTACCGGGCTGGGTAATAAGAGAAAAGAAAGAGGGGAGAGGGAGGGAAAGAGAAAGAAGAGGAAGAGAAAGGAAAGGAAAAAGGAAAAGAAAAAGAGGAGAGAAAAATAAAGACAAGAATAAAAAGGAAGATATCATAATGACCAGACTCACAACACCCTGCAACCTCTTCTTCCACTTAACTCCTTTGATCTAAGCTGCCAGATAGCGTAGGCTAACCACCGGGGAACAAGGGGAAATATCTATCTTTGGAAAATCTTTCCCACCCCTTTATAAATGCCCTTTTCATCCCCTGAAAGTGCCTAAAAATCTCAAATTTCACGCGCTTCGTGCGCATTTCTTGTCAGAGCTGGCCAATTTCCTCTAAAAATTGCACATTTTAGGGATTTTGTATCAATTCTGACGAAATTAGAATTAACACCAGGGGACAAGGGGAAAATATCCATCTTTGGAAAATCTTTCCCCACCCCTTGATAAATGCCCTTTTCATCCTCTGAAAGTGCCTAAAATCCTCAAAGTTCGCGTGCAATTCTTGTTACGGTAGGCCAATTTCCTCTATAAATTGCACATTTTAGGGAGTTTTGATCAATTCCATATATAGGGTTATCCTTTTAAGTTATTTAAACACATAATAGTCCCATACTCAAGAAAGAAAAATTTAAGGTAGATCGTTTTAACCTAAAAGAAGGGCCTCAATGTGTATTGATGGTGAGAGTAATAAATAAAACCATGATGAAAATGCTTATATTTAGTTTCAAACACACGTGTGTGGCCTATATTATAAATAAGATAAGCCCTATGTCGTATTGTTTTCTATATGGGGAGTGGGGTGGG